TTATTTCTTTGTTTTCAGTCTTTGTATATTTGCAATGGGTAAACAACTTTTCTTCCAGTAGACCTGCAGCTGCTGGCCCTGGTTGCTCAGCCAAGAGTCAGGAAGCCCACTTGTCACCAGATGTCCAGGAACTAGTACACCTAGCATGGTCCGTGTTGACCTGGGCAATGACTGATCAGGTATAGGTTTCTGTAAATTACGTCTCACCATATTGTTTATGGGAGAGACACTCTTTGTCTGGCTTCTCTGATGAGACCTGTTCAATATGGTTGAACCTCTGGCCAGCTCTCATCCTCTTTAGAGCACACAAGCCCCACAACCACATCAAGGTAGTGCCTCACTGGGGCATATTTATGGTTGGTTGCATAGTCAGCCAGATGTTTAGACTGGATTTGGCATTTTTATCCATCTATCGAGTCCTTCCCATGGACCTGGGATAGGCAGATGTTGTTTGATGATGATAAAGGTATCGTTGCAGGATATAAACTGTTCCAAGTCAAGCCGCCTTTTGCAGTTGACTGATGGTGATTTTGTCAATGCCGATGGTGATTTTTTCAATTCCAGTGGTGTTCAAGTGGTGCTCCATCAATCATTTCCACTAACAATGGGCTGTTTTTTTCCCTCTTTTTTCTTTTTCCCTGTGGTAATACCATGTTGGAAGGCATGGTAGGTAACAATAAACATACACATTTCTTCTATAGTAGTGGGACTTTTTCTTGGATAACCAGGAATTATTTCCCCAAACTTATATGGGCTCCTCCTTAAAAATCTGTGCTGTACACTTGTAATCATCAAGTATCTTGCCTCCTATTAGGTAGTAACACGAAAGGATGTCTTTTGCTTTCAGGAAAAGTTACCAGAGGACCATTTACATAGCTGGGCAGAATCAGAGGCAGTTTGACTGAAAGAGGTTCCCAACATGGTCAGAGGTCCTTTATGTTTCCCTACAATTCCTTGTTATTTATGTAATGTCAAAACTTTACTGGGACAGTGCAGACTGCATCCTAATAACAGTTGGTGGCTATGTGAACCTTTGTTCAAGTTCTCAACTGGGGTAGAACTGTATTCTTCTGCCTGTCACCTGAGCACAAAATCTTGGCACCATGATCAAACATCATTTTGATACTCAGATTCTTAGGCTTAGCAAATATGATTCTTCTGACTCTTCTGCTGGAAATTTTGAAGATTATTAACATTGCATAGAAAACCAACTGCTTATCAATTAAAGGGAACTGATTTGATAATTCTGCTAGTAATCAGCATTTTTTATTCTTTTGACTGGATGCCAAAACAACTGGAACATTTTGCCAAGGTTGCATTATATTTCTAATACTCAAATAAGCTTTTGGTGGTCTTCTTATGTTTACTTTGCTCCTTGGTTGTTCTGTCATATTGGATTTGACACTAATGGAGCTACTTTTCAGTCAGATGTTACATTTATGGAAACTCATTATTTCCTTTATTTGAATCAAGATACTATCCTCCCAAAATTCTTTTTGGAAGCATATCAGAGTATTGTCTTCTATGTTTAGTACATGACCTCTTTTTCCAGATCACATAAATAGTTATGGGGACCAAAATCCCAATCAGGTGCATCTCCTTGGCATTGCTGTGATGCATCTGCCTTGTTCTTGTTACGTAAGCTTCTTACTCATATTGGTGATATATAGAGAAAAAAGTCAAGCCAAAGTAACTTCGGTATTATTCTTATTTGGTATGCGGTTATATCTAAGGACACTACAAGACCTATTTTGCTTAACATGTGACTGTGCTTCTTCAAACAGTTATCTGTGTAGTCATACAGTCTACTCTTCTTCCCTGGACACATACCCACACCTGATACCTTTTTTTCCTTGCTTCCTATTGCTGTGACAGATCTTGGGAAGTGACCACGAGCTTCCCCTTAGAAGACAGGTTTTTTAGGGTATGTGTGTGCTTTTTTAATATGAGGCAAATTAAAAGTGTTGATCCTTACATGCAGCCTTAAATAATGCAGTTTATTCAATCTGTTGTCTGAAATGGTACAGCCCATTCTGCTATTTTCTTCTTTTGCATGTCTGGATTGGGGACTTAAGATCTTCAAGTAGTTTGTCAGTTAATGGAGAATGGTATCTTAGTGTGGGTGACTCCATCTTGCTTCAGAAGCTGGGCTTCAACTAGGTGGCACTCTATCTTTCTCCAATCTCTGTTGTAAACAATAACAGAAATGGGATGTATGACTGTGTATGATAATGCTTTTCTTACACCCAGAAAAGTTTCCAAGTTCATTTTAGTGGGTTTCTGCTACTCTTTTTATATATGAGTATTAAGTCTGGATCTGAACTATATCTTAAATGGATGAGGTTTCCCCAGAGGTTCTTACATTGTTAATTTCAGGTGTAATATTGTATGTTACACTGATCAAGAGGTTTGGCTAACACTCTATTAAATAAAGGCATATAAAATATGTGGGTCAGAAACTGATCAGGAAGGAGTTATGCACTTCTGTTTCTGTTGATTCCAAATAGTTCGCAGATGGCACTCTACCCTCTAAAATTACATCCTATTAATGAGCATGTTTCTAGATTGTAAACAACTTGGTACATATTTTCCGTTTTTGATGGTAATATACATTTAATTATTTTGTTTGTTTGTTTCTTGTCAGCTCCAGATGTGACTATTTCAAAACATTGGAAATTAAGTAAATTATTCTTTGAATCAACAATATTTAAGTCTAGGAAATTGCACTGGTCTGATCTTTAAATCACAGAAAGTGATTCCATTTTCTGTGTTGGTCAGTTTATACTTCAAGTACTGTGTATACTTTTAGGCATCATGCTTTAAAAAGGATCTAGACAAATTGGAGCAAGTTCAAAAAACAGCAAGGAAAGTAATCTGGGGACTATATAGTAAATCCTGTGAAGGACCTTCAGAAAATAAGATAGCACTTCTTAAATAGTTGAAAGGATGAAGAATTTTATTTTTTTCCAAAGGGCAAGAATAATGAATGTAAGTTAAAGGGAGGCAGCTTCTGATTGGATGCTGATCTTCCTAATAGTAAGAACAGCTCAACAGGGGAACCAGTTATCCAAAGAGGGGGTGGACGCCCCTACATTGGATGCATTTGATGATCTTTGTCCTTGAAATGTCTTTCTGGGTAGAACTATTAAATATGGATGTTTAGAATTTTTGTATTTGTATTATGTATGCATCTATATATTAGTTTTCCCAAGTTTCTGTAAAGGTTTATTTGTGTTTTCTCTCCTCTCATTTTTTCATGTCATTTTTAATATATTTTTCTTACTTTTGATGTATATCTGATTCAGTAAAGTACAAAGAGGAAAAAAAAACCCTGCAGATACTACTTCAGGTAGCCCATACTGAATTATATGCTATATAGCATAAAAACATTTTATACTATAAAATATTGGAAACATTGAATGCAAAACATGCATTCAACATTTATATAATGTATACAAATGGATATTCTGATAAAACATCTTGTTTTCTGTTTTTCATAGGGAAAAAGGTAGCAAAGCAAGAAGATCTGAAAGAAATGGGTGATATTTCCTCAGGGATGAGCAGCTCCATCATGCAGCTGTATCTCAAACAAGTCCTTGAAGCATTCTTTCACACACAGTCCAGTGTTCGTCACTTTGCGCTCAATGTTATTGCACTCACATTAAACCAGGGTCTTATCCATCCAGTTCAGGTATGTAATTGCATAATTAAGTTGGCAATTCTGTAAAGTTTTGACTGGGAATAAATACATGTAGTTAATTGGAGCTTACTTATAAGAAAGCACAGGAATCTGTTGTAATTATATTTTTATACTTTGGGTGTGGACGTTTTTTGGATGGTCAGCAAAAATTCTTAACATTTCTTTATGTATTTATTTTACTTAGGTAGTTTATTTGGTTTGTTTATATTATATCCAATCTGATTTCACAAATTCCAGACAGCTCATATAAATATAATGTAAAACAATCGATTTAAAACAACAAACATCTTTTAGAAGCATAATGTGATGGGTACCTTGGGTTCCCAAAACCTCTTCAAATAGGAGAGTCTTTATACTTCTCCTGAATTCTTAATGTGAGGTGTAGACTTTAGGGGTTGAGTATTTTAGAGTTACCAGGCTACCACAGAAAAAAGCCACTTCTGATTCCAACCCTTTAGAATCACTTCCTGGGCTGATCACAAAGATGGGCAGACCCTGATTGGAGAAGCTAGGCTTGTAGGCATGGGTACATGCCCAATATTTTTAATAATCAAATTCTTTTTTTCTGCTTTTCAATATGATAAGCATTTCCAAGGTGCCTAATAATATAGTAGATACTTATCATAAAAGTATATTAATAACTTTAATGATAACAGGTTTGCATAGATGTGTAATTCTGCCTTCTGTTTGTAGTGTAATCTTTAAACTCTAATAGATTTGGCGATTCTAATTAATATTCACATGTTCAGTAAAATGCATTGAAGATTGACATTTTACTAGGAAGACAAGATTCTTCATTCTAACTGTCAGTTGGTTTTAGGTATCCAATAAGTAGCATTTTTACAATTACTTCTGTAATTCACAAACATGATAAAAGTGGATTTCTTTAGATGACATAGTGTTGATTTTGGCAGAAGCAGCAGAAGAATGTACTTTTTTCATACCTTGAACTTTGTACCTCATTTACGATCCAAATAATTGTAATAATTATAGGTTGAGTAGCCCAGGTATTGATTTTCCAGTGTTTTCAAATTTTCTGTGGAATATATGGCTTCTGCATTCAACATTTCTTTAGTGTAAAGAGAACACTCATAAGAGATCATAGCCAGCTGATACACTTCTGTCATGCTGGACTGAATTTAACATTGAAATGAGGCCAAATGGCTCAAACAGCAACTTTATTTACTGTAGGACAGTGGTTATCCCTGGTGTTCATGTGATAATGAAAAAATTGTAACTATAAGCAGTGACACAAAGAGATGAGAAGTGGGGTCGTAGTACTGGTGGAGCATGATTAAAAGTGAGAGACAGTAAACTCCATAAAGAATGGCAAGGTGGGCAGAAAGGTAGCAATATGTGCAGAACAGCAAAAGGCACAAGCAATGTAAGGTAGTGCAGGGTTCTTTCTTCCTTACCTTAACATATGGGCATGATTCACACAAAATGCTAAGCCAAGACCTTTTAACCAGTTTGTTCACCAAGCCACAGTAACCTGATTCATACACAATGTTGCATCTTAACGGATGGGATCATACACCATATTTTGGTTATGAGTGGCTGTTCCTTTGGTTTATGGCTGAACTCTTTAGAAAGTCATTTACCATATTTGCCCAGAGGATATATGAAGTTTTTCCCCATTTTTTGAAGTGATAGGGTGGGGATTATCTGACATATATATAATAGAATCATCTGCTACTTACAGGAGGAAACTATTCTGTCTCGTCCTTTTAGATTGTAGATGGGAGAAGAATGTGTTTGAGCAATTTATATATGAGAGAGATAATGTTTATACTTTTCAGTTGTGAAGAAAACAGAGGAAAAGGAAACAAACAGAAACATGGAATTCTTTCAATGATGTTTTTGTCTCTTTTGCAGTGTGTACCATATTTAATAGCAATGGGCACAGATCCAGAGCCTTCTATGAGGAACAAAGCAGACCAACAGCTGGTGGAAATAGACAAAAAATATGCTGGATTTATTCATGTATGTTGGCATCCATTTATCTTAATAAATTATCATTTCTGTCTTTTTCCATTTATATAAAAATACAGAGAATCAGAGGAAGCATAAAATGTTCAGTAGGTTATTTTCACAATAAAAAGGGTATCGTAATTCAGTTTCTGCAGCTGGAAAAATTGAATTGGAAATATGTTTCCATTAACACATAAAAAAATAAGCACACATGGGTTGTGGTTTTTTTTTTTTACTAAAGTTTGCATGTGGAATTTTGGCATATTGCTTCCTGAAAACAAAAACCATGGCATGAAAAAGAAATATTATTTCTTTAGAAGCAAGGATATACCTGCTTTAGAAGGAAGGTGAATTTAAATCAGACCTGCATAAGTTAAACATGGTGAGCCAGCTGTCCTCTCTGAGAAATGTTACAGATCCATTGTTTATGGCCTTGTCAGCTTTGGGATTCTTCAGAATGTAGTCTGTCAATATTGGACGTAAGATTTCACTATATGGAATTGCTCATCCTCTCAAGATTGAGAGGTGCAAAGTATAGTTGCATTTTTCTCTACAAGCCCAACTGTGTTCAAGTTATTTTCAACATACGAGTTTCTATAAACAGACAAACTTGGTGTGCTCTTGTCACACAAGAAAAAATTATAAGCAGTTGGAATAGGCACAGCAAGAATCAGAATGAGGCTTGGGGAGATGAGGATATGGAACCTGAAGGGCTGAGACGCAGGGGTCATTTAGGATGGGGGAGGGGGGTTGTTTGGCAGTAACTCGGTTCAGATTGTCTTAAAGAGATACGTAGGCATTATACGTTTTGTTCAATTTCAGATGAAAGCAGTGGCGGGTATGAAGATGTCTTACCAAGTACAGCAGGCAATCAATACCTGCCCAAAAGATCCTGTGAGGGGCTTTAGGCAGGATGAATCTAGCAGCGCTTTGTGCTCACATCTTTACTCCATGATCCGAGGGAACCGGCAACACCGACGAGCCTTTCTTATTTCTTTACTCAACCTCTTTGATGACACAGCTGTAAGTCTTATGCAGGCTTTCTGTACTTGTCTAGAATGTCCTTGATGGATGCTTTTTTCTTTGTTTAATAAACTCTTAAGTAGCTTCACCCTTGAACTCTATATGTGATTTAACTGCATTTATTAATCTAGTCTTGAAATTTATTATGATTATGTGCTGTCAAGTTGGTGTCAGCTGTTAGCAACCACATAGATAGATTTTCTCCATGACAGTCTGTCCCTAACCGGGTCCTTCAGGTCTTCCAATAATGCATTCATTGCCACTGTAACTGAATTCATCCACTTTGCTGCTGGTTTTCCTTTTCTTCTCTTTCCTTCCACCTTTTCCAACATTACAGCTTTCTCCAGAGAGCTAGATCTCCATATAATGTGTCCGAATTATATTAGGATAGTTTGAGCCTGGCGATTTGTGCCTACATGATAACTGTGTAGAAAAATAGCTTGCAAATCCCAAACAGGACTTAGCAATATGTACCAGTTTCAATGAATGTATTTATAATTTATGTAAGATTAACAGATGAGTTGCTCAGGGGGTTCTGTGTTCCTGCACCTGCATTTGATACTTCCCTTGCACAGGAATTACAGGCAGTCCTTGTTTAGCAACTGCCTCGGATAGCAACAGTTTGCCAATATGATGGTAATAAATGGTAATAAAAATTCATTTTCCAACCAGTGCACATTTAGGACAACAAAAGCCTTCAGTGTAAAGCTGATTGTTCAGTTTCAGGCAGCATCTGGGAGTGCTGGAGGGTTCTAATCAACTAATTAAGGTCACAGGGCTGAGCTTGTTAACTTGCAGTTAGCACTTTTTAGGGAAGCGTTGAGGAGAAAAGCAGCTCAAAAACAGAGAGCTTGCTTAAGCAATCTTTCCACCCTGCAAGGGGAGGAAAAAAAAGGAAAAAAGTGGGTCAGGTACAGGACACTGTCTGAGAGAACTTTATTTCAATGAATGTGATGGTATGTGGGAATACTTTTGGGAGACAGCAGGAAGAGCCGCAGCCTAAGCAACAGTCTGATAAGAGGCAGCTCAGTCCACAAGTGGGGGAAAAACATGGGAAGCAGCTGAGAAGGGACCCTCCCTAGTTTTCCGGAGACTGAAAATAGAAGAGGGGAGAAATACTTTTCAGTTTTGCAAGATTCTGTAACCTTACAATAAAGATAGTGCTCGTGCTCCTGGTTGTGCTTCTTGTCTGGACTACCTTGAAGGGCTAACAATGAGACAGCAGCAGTCAGCGATCTTCACAGTATCTCTCTCTGTCACCAAAGCCAATTGCAGTCACTAAACAAGGACTACCTGTATATCAGAATCATCTGTAGATACTCTGGTTCTACAGTGCCTGGTGTGCCACTGGTACACTAACTGGAGGAGTAGAAAGAGTAGGAGAGAGAATTCCTTCCTGGCAGATGTCCCAGTGACCTAAAATATTATATAAATGTAGCCACTGAACACAAAATGTTTATTTGAAAGGTTATGTCTTTTATATACATATCTATATATATTTTTACTTTAACAGAAAACAGAGGTGAATATGCTTTTGTATATAGCAGACAATCTAGCCTGTTTTCCTTACCAAACCCAGGAAGAGCCACTTTTTATAATGCACCATATAGATATTACATTATCAGTTTCTGGTAGCAACCTTCTACAGTCATTTAAAGAGGTAAGTGAAATTTCTTTTAATACCCTTCTTTTTGATAAGTTATTTCTTGCAAATGCATCTTTAATAATTCAATCTGTACTAAAAGATTGGAAGCCAGTCCTTTGGACAGGTGTTCTCAAGCGGTCCAAACTAAGACGCTGCCTCTCCCTATATTGATCAGAGTAGTATCTCTACTGCCTACAGAGTCTTAGGATAATTTTACTCTGAGCAAAAACTATATTGGAGAAGATGAAAGGAGTAGAGTATTATTGTATAAATGTAAGCTCTAAAAGTCTTTTTAGTGCAGTCTTTCCACCTTTAGTTCTCAGGAGGTCATAATTTTTAAGTTTTAACAGTTTAATAGGCAGTGTTTTTTATTCATGAATGTCAATTCTTTGAATGTATTTCAGACCCTTATTTGTCCCTTTCTGAAATATATAGAATGTTTTACATTAATTGGATATTTTTGAATAGGAATATTTAGTGTTAACATGACTGAATTATTTTATTTATTTATGGATTTTTATGACTGCACAACTTGCAAAAATATGACTCTGGACAGTAAACAGCAATAAAAACAAAATCACATTGTAATTTTGACAATGACAAAAAATGAGCAAAAATCCTCATCATCAGCAAAACATAATTGGGGCATTCCAACATACACTACATCTCTCAGGGTGAGCTCATCTGACATCCTGGCCCCAGCACCTGAGGGAACAGTTAGGTCTTCCTGAGGCTAACAGAGCTGGGGCTAATAGACTCTCAGGTGTTATTTACATATATGTATATGTATGCACACTGACATACGTAGAAGAATAAGCATCACTCCCATTTGGCGAGACCCATATGGTATGTAGACAAGAGCCAGCGATATGGACCTTTCCCATGGAATCCATTCCTGACGGATCATGCAAGCCCATATGAGGCGAACTTCCTCACATGTGCAGTTTGCTTCATATAAAAGTTGCTACCAAATTGCAAGCAACATGTGAAGAAGCCTCATGTGATGAGTAAATACTCTGGGAATAATATTTATTCAGAGCCTTCATTTATTTTTCAGAATTTGTTTAGTAATATCTTCAGAGGACTTTAGTATTATTTGCCTTATAAATCTTAGATATAAAAAGATAGTTGTATTCAGTGAACAGACGTGCTAAACACTGTAAGGACTGCCAATAATGAAGTTAAGCAGTCTGCTTGGTGGGACATGTCAATTATATTCCAAATTGAAAAAGAAATCACTGAGTGCATATGTGTATATTTCATTATTGATATGTGTTGCACAAACATCACCAAATTTCCCACAATCACTATTTCACACTTGTGAGAAAAGTGTTAGAATGATTATGAAATTACAGATAAGTTATTGTGATGGTTAGTATTCTGAAGCACGTGTGTCTTTCTCTTTCAGTCTATGGTAAAATATAAAAAAGAAAGAAAGCCTTCCTCTGATGAAGAGAGTGAAAGTGAAAGCAATAGCGAAAGTGACAGTGAAAGTGAGGAGGAAATTCACAAATCCCGGAAGTCACGGAAACGTGCAGATTCTGATTCAGACTCTGATGAAGAAAATGATATAAATGCTGTCATGAAATGTTTGCCAGACAATTCAGCTCCTCTGATTGAATTTGCAAATGTTTCCCAGGGCATATTGTTGCTTTTGATGTTGAAACAGCATTTGAAGAACCTCTGTGGATTTTCTGATAGGTGAGGACCGTTTTAGTTTTGCTATATACTATCTCTGTTTTCTGCATTGGTGAGATCTTATTTGGGACTGAATTCTCGGGGACTTGAATCAGTAATGCTTAAATAAAGTTGACATTTGTTTCTATAATGTTAAAAAAGCAATTGATTGATTCAGAATATCTGTTGTTATTGCTTCCTTTAAAGTATACTGGAATTTTTCTTACAAAATTTATTTTGTTTTCTTAGTAAAATTCAGAAATACTCACCCTCTGAATCAGCAAAAGTTTATGATAAAGCGATAAACAGGAAAGCAGGAATTCACTTCCATCCAAAACAGACGCTGGACTTCCTTCGAAGTGATATGGCTAATTCCAGGCTCACAGAAGATGTGAAGAGGAATATAGTGAAACAATATTTAGATGTAAGTTTTCACTGTTTAAAACTTCACTGTTTACCACTGGATGAACTTAGACTTTTTCCACAGGTATAAAGTGAGACAGCTATCATTTGAAACTAAACATAAAGTGATTCCAGAACCCATAGCAGAAAGTTTTTCTTTACACAACACAACTGTGCAATTCTTTGCCGTTAGATATGATGGTTCTAAATAATAAGATAAATAGATGATGAGGGTATTTATCACTACTGATCTTCATGGCTATATAGCATCTTATGAATCAGAAGCAGCATTATCTTGGATGTTTGTTTCTTTTTTAGTTATTTGGACTGCTTTAATCATACAACTCACAGTGGTATACAAAAACATAAAAATCTATGTTGATGAATAAAATGTACAGTATTTTAAATAAAAAAGTGTATTAAAATGCATTTCTAGAAGCATTAATGGTGGAATAAATAGTGATCTAGTAGAGCTTTTCTTTATTTTAAAGTTTGTTGACTCATAATAAGTTGGCCTTTTCACTTTGCTTATTGCACAACATGGTTCTATTGTTCAGGAGTAAGCAAACTAAAATCTTGCCCCACTAAAAACATAAAAATTAGGAATGTACAAAGCAGCATAACTGGTTCCTGGACTATTCTCTTGTTCCCTGGGATCTTATGTTTTTTCCCTCCAGATCTGATCTGTAAGTTTTGGGAGTGCTCTGTCTCTTTTCCAACGTAGAGGCTTCATCAGGGAAGTTGCAGCCATCACCTGTATAGATCCTGCCTAATGTGTACAGATTGTCATAAATCTAGATCTCCCTGGTCCTAATTTGACACCTTAACCATTTTCTTGGATCAGCCCATTTTGGGTCAGGGGAGGACAAGGTAGAACCAAATGTTCCAGGGACAGATCATGGTGTTTTGGGCATAACTTTTTTTTTTTTTAAGCGTATTTTATATTCTGGAATTCTCAAGCTGTTCCATGTCAGACACCTTCCATAATTAGAGCCAATTCATTTCCTTTTGTTCCCAGTTGTGAAAGTGTTTCTGCGGGAAGTTTGCATAATTTTTGAATTGAAGATTGTAGACAGATGGATTGAGAGGAAAGGGGCAAGATGCTCCAAATATTTGGAGGCTTGGCTGCAGAAAACTGAAAAGCCTAAAATGCTTTCATTTGCCTTTGGCTAAGTTAGTTTGTAAGAAGTTTGGCTAAGGGAGAAAACAAAGTTTTGTAATAGATCATTTCTATTTAAAAAGTTGGCAAAAAGGAGCTTATGTAGCATATACCTCCTATTTTAAAACAGTTTCTAATCTCACTTCCCACATCCCTTTTTTAGTTCAAACTTCTTATGGAACATTTGGATCCTGACGAAGAGGAAGAAGACGGGGAAGTGTCAGCAAGCACAAATGCTCGCAACAAAGCTATTACCTCGCTGCTCGGAGGTGGCAGCCCTAAAAACAATGCAGCTGAGACAGAGGATGATGAGAGTGATGGGGAGGATAGAGGAGGAGGCACTTCAGGGGTGAGGCGGAGGAGGAGTCAACGTATTTCGCAGCGTATTACGTAAAATGATTTTATGTGCTTATAAATGTCAGTCTATAATAAAATGTACATTGAGTAATGTAATGCATATGAAAAAAAATTGTAGATAGAAATTCTTAACCGTTTATACAACTTTTTGTAGAAAGTTTTAACAAAAACACAATAAAAACATAGAGATTATATCTAGTATAAAAAAATAATTTCATTTGGAATGTATTGTGTGTTTCCTTTTTATTGTTGCCAAGTTTTTATGTAGCTTTATGATTCATTTGTATATATAATTTTATATATCAATAAGAGTTTAAAGAGACGGGTACAAATTAAAATATGTGATTTTGCAAGGATATGTTAACCCCTTGGCGCTGGCGGTCGCGTCTCATTGCCGGCAATGGAATGTGTGCCGGAAAATCCCAACTCCCGGCGTCAAGGGATTAAAAGCAATAAAAGCAATAATTTCAATCAAGTTCTTTTGTGTAACACTTGGTCTTTTTTCCCCTCCCAATGTTTTAGTCATTGAGAAGGTCAAAACGAAATTCAGACTCTACGGAGTTGGCAGCACAGATGAATGAAAGTGTTGATGTCATGGATGTCATCGCTATTTGCTGTCCAAAGTACAAAGATCGACCACAAATTGCAAGAGTAGTGCAGAAAACCAGCAATGGCTTCAGTGTTCAGTGGATGGCAGGCTCCTACAGTGGCTCCTGGACTGAGGCTAAGCGCCGTGATGGCCGCAAACTGGTGCCTTGGGTAGACACTATCAAAGAGTCAGACATTATTTACAAAAAAATTGCTCTAACGAGTGCTAATAAGCTGACTAATAAAGTGGTTCAGACTTTACGATCGCTGTATGCCGCCAAGGATGGAACTTCCAGCTAATGCATTTGTACACATGCAGCCAAATTTTACAGGAAAGAACAGAAAAAAAAACTTGAAATACCAACTTTCTGGCAAAAAAAAAAAAAATCAATTTAATGAAGAGTAAGAATGACACCTGGGATGCAGGAAACAGAAGGAAATGTTTGGTAAACATTTTTGTGGGAGCTTCCTTCGCTGTTGTGCAGCAGAAACTTCTCAGTTCATTTTTACTCCCACTGTATAATAGTTTAACGAAAAAAATGTTTATATCTTGAAAAAAACCTTTCTGTTTAAAAAAAAAATAAACAAGTGAATGTTGGAAATTAGTCTGTTAATGTTCTTAATAAAGTGTTCTTGGAGTTTAACCTAGCAGCGGATGGCTTTCTTTAGCTTAGCCCAGTTTCAAGGAAAGCATTGTTTTTCCAGGCTGTAAAATGGCAGAATCTCCTGGATATATAATTTATTCTGTTGGGGGAAAAAGCATGCAGTATCTATGACCTACCTGCAGGAGGAGTTTTTGTAAATGTAGATTTTTGATGTATTAGGTCACCCTGAAATAATACAAGAAAAGGGATCCCCAGCAAATCTGGTGGAACGAATACTGCAATAAATTTTTTTACTTCTCTTTGTTACTTGTCTGTTTCCATTTGAATTTCTTATTGTAAAGATCTGTTTAAATCCATTTATATTATTTTCCAGTCTTTTATGTAAAATTTACTATATCAGTGGTTTTCAAAGCAAGACATAAATATTGTTTATACAGTTTGTATAGGCTGATTTCTGAATAATTGGTATCTTTATCCCTTACAAGGGTGTAAACACAAGTTAACTCCAGGGTTTTATTGTATCCTGCAATATTTAGTATTAACTATATATGATTTAGCACTGTGCCAAACACATTTTCAAGAGTACATTTTGATATAAAAAGAAACTATAGTTTATGCCTTGTATGCTTCAATTTCTTTCTAATGCTGTTCATATGGCAATGTTCAAAACATAGGAAAAAAACACTCTGTTCTGAGTAAAGAAACATGTATATTTCATTAGGACATCAGAGTGCATTACACTAGGACATAATGAGCAAGGCCATCTCCTGAATGGCGATGTGCCTGTATTCTGTTGTTGGTTGTTATTTTATAAGCCAAGTGGTACTCCCTTGCTGAATCAGTTGGAGCCGGCAAATGTCAGGAATGAATATGGATTTGTAACTTATAGTTGCGCTAACTTAACCGTTTTAAATGATTTTTTTAAAAAGCTGGACAGAAATGGCTGTATTGTAGATAGGGTTTTTTAATTACTTGAAATCTGTTTTCATCTTTTATACACTGAAAATGCTATTTTAAACTGTCTCTGGAGTGGTGCTTCAATGTGTACTGTCACCATTCTTTCAGAAGCTGTTCTATTTCTGGATAATAACACAAAATAATTTTTGCATATTGACAAAAGCAGAAGAAATGAATAGCATATTAATTAGCAAATAACTATTTTAAAGTCTTTACGTTTTATTTAAAAGTGGATGTTCATCAAAGATTTTAGATGCATTCAATTATAAAATTAATATATGGTGGGGTGTGTTTTTATTACATTAATTTACAGAATTCTAGTGTGTTACTTGATCTGTAGGAAATAGTAACACAATATTCAAATTCATTATCTTGTACAGAATTTAAAAATTAAACTGACATGACTAATAATTCATCAGAATCTAATTGCTCTATGAAATATTTTTCATTTCCTCTTCTTTGTCGTAACTGCTGCAAATATTTCTGGGGCAAAATCTATTTTTAATGTTGTGAAAGCGAAAGCTGTGCTTCATTCATGCAAATACTATCTTTTGCCTGATTCCTTTTTGTACAATACTGGCAGTTAAGTCACTCGATTACTCTCCTGGGTATCTACAAATTGATTTTATTATGTTTAAGTTTACTAGGAAATTGATCACATAGCTTCATATTAGTTGCTGTGAAATACAGCTAAGAAAAAAAAAATCTTGATAATACATTACATGAAGAATTAAGCCTATTCCTTAGAATGATGGGCCCAACATGTATAAAATGTAAATTAAAAAAATGGGCTTTTCAGAGAGTTCCAGAAAGGAACAGTACTGTTGGTGGTTGGTAAATTCTATTTCTGGGTTTATGTTGAGGATTCCAGTTCATTCCACTGAGTCACATTACACAAATAGATTAAACTTTTTTGTGTGCCCTGGAGGCTGAATCTTGCTGCTGAACTGGGACTGCCTACATTTTAGGAAGGGCTATTAGCAAGTCAAAAAATGAAGCCAAATCCAAGTATATTTGAAGTGAATATGATCGTTGGACTTTGCCATCTCACATAGCAGCATCTTACAAGAAATAAGTGATTCATTCCTGATGTCTGTCATTATACGAGGGATGGGGTTCAGTTAAAGTTGAGTGGGATTGCTCAAGCCCTAAAAACTACTTTATTAATAACTACTGTATAAAATACCACGTACATGCCCTCACCCTAGAGTTTGTCCATTATTATACACAGGCAGAGTCATTTATGAGTGGGTGGCCATTAAAGTTGAACACAAAGTTACCTAAAAGGGGACAGTAACAAAGAATCACAGAGCTCAATGGTGGAAAAGTCAAATAGTTGCTGTGAAGCAATTCTGGAAAGGAACTGATGGTGCTGGCACCATGGCACAGGCACATCGGGTAGCTTCTCCCTTGGTGCCAGGGAGATACTTCACACACTTTTTACACCCAAGCCTTCAAGAGCTATGAAAGCTAATTTGAGCCTTTGTGGTCTCCCAAACCCGACTCACCTGCTTGGCCATATTAGTCCCAAAGTCGCCAACTCCTAGCCAGTTCTCTCATCGGCTTTCGAGTCCTCCCTCTCGCCTTGGACAGCCAATCCAGTTGCTATGGCTAAATATCTGGCCAATTGCTATCAATTGCCTAGGAAGGCAGCGCTTGACCTCCCAGCCCAGCTGAGTGATAGGATCTAAACCAATAAAGACAGGATACAAGCAGATGGACTTGATATGACTGTAGACACCCAGTGCTATACTCCCGTCGCTATGGCTTCAGAAAAACTGAAGTGCACTTCAAGTTTGAAGTAAACTAATTTTGGGTTAAGGACAGGCAAAATAATCCAAATTCTAATAGAGGTCTATGGTTCACAATCCTATAGGTATATTCCTTCTGTAATCTTTATCATTGGTTAATTTAATCAGTTAATTATCTCATTTTCATCTGAAGCCTCTCCCCCCTATCCATCCATCCATCCATCCATCCATCATCCCCACAAGGGTACATATTTATTTTCATTGCAAAACATTACTGAAGTTAATAAGCCAATGGTATAGTTTAAAATCGGGGGGTGGGGGGTGGGACACTGTTACTATATGAAAGTCATAGCTTTAAGAGAAATCATTGGGATTTCTCTATTCCATTAAAAAAATAACCATTCTTAGTGGTTTGTTTGACATATCTAACTGGAATTAACATAAGCAATGCTCTCAAGATAAGCATCAGTCTGAAGCCATGTTAGCACTACATTTACTCTACCCTACAGATGCACAACTATTTTCATCCATGTCTTAATACAGGTAGTCCACACTTACTGGCCACAACTGGGACTGGCAACTCTGTTGCTAAGCGATGCAGTTATAAAGTGAAATGTCACATGACCACACTGATTTATAATGTCAGTTCCAGCTGTGACCTTGAAGCAAATCACCCATGGTTGCTAAATACAATGTCACATGACCCTGACTTACAACTTCCTGCCGGCTTCCCCATTGACTTTGGTTGTGGGAAGCTGGCTGTGAATGCCGCAAATGGCAATCACATGACTGTGGGGATGTGACAGCTACAAGTTCGAGGACTGGTTTTAAACCTCCTTTTCAGCGCCTTGGTAACTTCAGTTGGTGAACAAGCAGTCTGTAAGTGAGCACTACCTGTATTCCTTTATCTATGCTCTACAAATTCAGATACTTTTTTTAGTACACAAGTGTTTTTGTTAGAATAGTAATCCCTGGGTATTTAGAACAAGAATGAACAAATCCTAATTTTTTTACACACTTCCACAGATACCTTATTACTAATAGGTTAAATATTTTATTAATTCTAAAGTATTCCATATCTGGAGTATTTACCATATTGCTGTACCATTTTTACAAATCTGGATAAAGGTGTTGTAATAATAATTTAAGAGTTACATCATCTTGGTATCACAACTTGCATTCCATTCCTGCTATCTGAACCCTCTGAATGCCACCAGATTATCTAATTAAGCACTCCAAAGGTTCCAACACACCATTAAAAAATTAAAGGAGACGGGGGCATCCTTACCACCAGGTCTCATTTAATTACAAAACAAATAATCCCACCAGTAATTGAGCAAAACGATTTTCCTTTCATCACCAGACATTGTAGGAGGGGAAGCATTTAGTCTGCGATAGCCCATTCTGGTAACACCTTTTCAGAGTAACAAATGTTATGAAAAGGCGGCAGCTTTTGCGAGCTCTAGCTCGCTTCATCAGACTCCTCTTCCGCCGCCGATGTGGAGAGACACAGATGTGACATTAGACGAACTATATGGTGATAGTTATAAAAAGTTATTTTAAGCCCAGGAAATGAAGAAAACATTAAAAATGTTAATGTTAGACCTTAGACCTTAATTCTCAGAGGTCTAAGAGGATGGGAAGGGAAAACAAGCTTTCAAGGTTGTTACTATAGCCTATATTAATCAAGTAGGGTTCCAGTCATTCTTGAGGGGACTGTTTCCTGATCTGGCCTACCTCAGCGGGCTGACAACCACCTATCTTCCAAGAGAGCGCTTCTGGTGTGTGAGAGAGGACTCCCATACTTGGCTCCTTTTTCGCTAAAGAAAAAGCCAAAAATGAATGAAAAATGAAAATGAAAAAACTAGTACAGCACCCTCTCCTGGCCATATAGTGTTGAGGTATGTGACTAGATGTACCAGCCCTTCTTCCCACCCAGGAGATAAGACAATCTCCTAGACAGGCCAGATAAAGAAAAATCAAACTTTTTGTTTTTACATAAAAGAAATATATTAAAATAACTTTAAAGTCTAAAAATTGTGAATTGTAAAAACATTGCAGGAGCCAGAACGTGTCTTTACAATATATGGTAGCACTGGCAAATTAGTTGAACTAAGCCCAAAGATGACAAGATGGCATTGAGCTGTTACCGTTCCTCCAGGCTTCAGGTTTTGCAGAGCTGAAATAATTTCTTAGAAAAAAATTATGGCTTGAGTTTTTTTAAAAAAAGCAAGCAGCATCATGCACAACCTGATGGATGCAAAAAAGACATAGGGCTTATATGACTGGATTTGTAGAGAGATATAAAGAATATTGGACTCAAGCACACAGAGATAAAAGTAATCAATCTGGAACAGCACCTGCGTTAGCCCACAACAGCTCTCAACCCCTTGCAGGATCCCTGCCCACCCCCCACAATCTCACGGGGCCCAGCGAGGGAGAGCCACAACACAGCACAATGAGTTTTAGATCTAGATATCCAAAAACAGATCTAAAACTTTACACCTCCATTATGGAAACCTTGCAAGTGTTTCATTTGTCATACTTAGGTGTTTTTATAATATCCTCCATGCTCATGACACTTTAATTAGTATGAAT